TATTTTGACCCAACTGTTTCCCACACGCTGTGCTTTTATGCTGTATTCGCAGCACTGGACTCCACAAGAATCCCTGCTGAAAAGTCATGCTTGAATTTCCATACTGGTTCAGGCTGGTTTATGTTGCCGGTCTAGCGGTGTCATTAAAGTTGCATTTGCATAACATGGCAAGAGCAGCACAGCTTCTTTAGACTCATATTTACATGATAGTTGCATTGAACTTCTTTCAAAAATGTCTTTAATGTGTGAAATGTTATGAGCTGTTGAAGAAGAAGAAAAGTAACTGGCATGTGATGCAGTTAAACATCCTTTAAATTGGAATGAGGACCCAAAGTCGAGCTATAACGTCACAGCTTCCTCCTTTTTAATAAGAGACACTTTGCAGGGTCTGTTGACCCATTGAGGAGATGAGTATCGACTGGTCTTGAGCGGATGAGCTGTTTGGCTACAGGCAATGGACTGATGTCCTTATCTTTCAAACGGCATTGATTTCTGTCGCTGCTCTGATTCTCTTTGCGCACTGTGAGATCTGCCCCACACACATTGTGCTTTGTGTTTGTTTGGAGATGTGCAGTTGAAAATGGGTCAGTTCAGATGAGGGACGTTTAAGGAACATCCTATGAAGGAACTAGGAGTTGAATAAGGTTTGTTTCGAAGGTTAGGCCTTATTGGATTGGGTATTTGTCATTTTGCACATCTCAGTGAGTTCTGAGAAACTTGTTTTGTAAATATTAAACAGACTTGCATGAATGTAATTGTAAAATTAATACTATAGAATAGTTTTACATTGAAAACTTGAACTGAGCTAAAATAACAGCCATTCTTAGAACATTTTTTTACAACAACTTTATATATTGCTCAACCTGCTATGGAACATAAAGGGATAGTTCACCCAAACATGACTCTTATGTCATAATGGTAAAAAATGTATAGCCTGAATGCACTGTAAGTCGCTTTGGATAAAAGCGTCTGCTAAATGCATAAATTATTATTCAATTATTATTATTATGTTTTTTGGATCTTGTACTACTGTAATACTATAATACTTTTTGTTGTTCTTCTTTTAAACATGGTACCATGGTGTTTTGGACATATACCATGGCAAATATAATGTAAATTAATATAATTGTATATATAACAAATTAAAAATATTATATATATCATTTCTTACCATGGTATATATCAAAGTACCATGATATTGCCATTTGATACCATCTCTTAGATGTCACATTGTCCTTCCTTCCTTGTGTTTATGAAGGATGTCCTGTATCATATTTATCGTTTAATGCGTCTTTATGTGTCTTTATGCATGCTGATGTTGATACCATGTGTCAAAGCGTGCGAGACAAGATGTTTTGTTTCTGTCAGGCAGGGGTACCCATAAAAGGGAACATAAGTGAGATATGCATTACAGTTGGTTAATGTGAGAATATCCTGGTATAGTTTAGTTTCTCATCATGTAGAATATTTTTTAAAAATTCCATAACACTTGAAAGGCCTGTTTTGTTTTTTGTTTTCAAAATGTTTTCCCCCCTCCTGAACTGAACTTTACAATTTTATTCCGGTCTATATTCTGAAGAGATTTGTTCATGTATAATTTATTTAATTTATAGAACATTTTATACCTAAAAAGGTGGAAAAAATGAATTTTCTTCTGGCTGTTGACAGTATTTTTATGATAAAAAGAGATATCCAAAATCCTCTGTAAAAACCTGCATCTCTAATGCCACTAAAAAGTAACAAGACTTTTGAATCTGGCTTTATCCAGTGTTTAGATTTCTGTTCTGGAAAAGTATGCAAATGAGTGCATATTTATTTAGAAAATACCTCATTTGCATATTTAATCATAACATTACAGAAGACTTGTAATACAAAACATTTGTCTTAATGTACTGTTATTAATCATGTGTGTGTGTGTGTGTGTGTGTGTGTGTGTATATATATATATATATA